CAGGGTGTGGCCGTGGGGGTGGGGGCGGCGGCTGGAGGGGCTGAACCTGCAGACCGGAAGTAGATTGCCTCCTTGCTGGGCTCTGCAGGCCTCCCCGTGTTCCTATGGGAGAGGTTCTGGAACTCTAGGTGTCGTGGAGCAAAAGCAGCGGTGATGAAAAGCGGAGGTGCCATGTAGGAGGCCTGTGGCTCGACGGCCTCCCCTTGTTCTCTCAGGGCAGTAGTCAGGGACAGCTCCTCATCTCCAAGCTCCTCCCAGTTTCTCCTTCCAGCCGTTCAGGGTACACCTCTGACGGCAGGGCAAGGTTGAGAGGGGTGAGCAGGGTGCTGCCGTCCCAGAGCCAGCAAATAATCTTTGACCTTGCAATCCCTTTGCGCGCCCATGACTTTACTGTCTATCCCCAGGGGATTGGCCCCTAGTCTGTCTTCACTCCATCACCTTGCTCGTCGAGATTTGCCAGGGGTGGGCTTTCTAGCTCAGAAGCGTCTTTCCTATCTGGGAAGTGTCTTCTAGACTTCTCCACCCACAAACTGCATGTGCCTTCCAGGACCTCCAAAGCTGCCTCCGGCTATCCCCTGAGAACTGATAGGATCCCTCATGCGCCTTTGCCCAGGGCCTCCCCACCCAAGCCTGTGTGGAGTGGGTGTTCCTGCCTGGGGGGCCCCCACCCTGCCTCCATTCTTATGTTTGGTACACAGAAGTCATGGCAACGGCCTCCACCCCCCCTCCTCTGCTCCTGAGTAGGCCTTGCGGCTTCCTGTTTGTGGAGCTTAGCTTTCTCTTCTGCTCAGGACTCTAGGTGGTAAGGGGGCTGCCCCCTGGTGGGGGGAGGGTCTTCCCCAAGGTATCCCCTTAACCACAGTGCTGCCACTGGCCTTCTGCCTACCCATGTGGCATTTCTGCTTCAGAACAGTCCCGACTCACAAGTGAGTTGGGAAGTTCCCAGTGTTCCATCTGCACAATGAGAGGAGAGTCCCCTTGTCTTCCCAGTAAATACTCAGTCACAGTCAGGAGTCCCAAAGTCCGACCCTTCCCAACTTGGTGTTCCCCTTGCCTTCAGCATTGACGACAAATGGGGTGAGGTAAGCTGCCAGCCGTGGTTTGGGTGGAGCTCAGGGTTGGAAGGCCTTTTGTGGCCCCTCCTTCTTTCCCAGTTATTGTATGGAACCTTGTAGGCCTGAGTGAGGATTGTTCCCAGGACTACAGTCAGCTCTGGAGTTCTCCACTGCCAGCCCACCATGTAGGCTGTCCAGCTGTTGTCTTCACGTGGGATACCCAGTTTTGGGCATGTTCCACACCTGTGTTACAGCTGGGCAGATGTCTTTAGCCCACACCAGAAGGAGACTTGCTATTTTCTCTTTCTGAGGGAGGGCTGGGGTCTGTCTCCTGGGTGTAACTAGGGCGGGTCTCTCCAGCTGCAGCAGCCACAACCCATCAGCTGTCTGCCTGCCTGAGGGGGTAGGGAGAGACACAGCTGCTGGCCTGGCTGGGATAACCTCTTCTGAGAACTCCACCCCGTGGCTCTGCCACTTTGGGGTTCTGGGGTCGTGGCCTCAGAGTGGAACAGAGAGACACTGCTGGAGGCCAACCTCCTCGACAGCTGTGTCCAGGCTCCAGAGCCAGGGGAGGGCCCCTCAGTAGTCACCTATCCAGAGGTAGATCTGGGGCAGGGGACACTGGCAGGGTCTGTCTTTGGACTCCCTTCTTAACCCTGGTATCTGGATTAATCATTCTCTTGCCCTTTTTTTACTTGTGCCCAGGCTTTAGACTCATTGGCTCCTTGGAAACAGCCCCAAGAGAAACTGTTCCAGAAGAGAGGTCTAGAAATTGGGTTGGGAAAGAGGATTGCTTGTGATAGGAGCCTTTAGCCCCCTCCTTCTCCTACCCTGTCTTCTAGTTACAACACGAAGCTTGGAT